ATACACAGTGCCGCTGATGATCTTTAGGCGCAAGCGCCTTCGTAAAGATATCAGCTGTGTTGGCACCGGAGGCCAAGTGTACTACGCGAGCCTGGCGGCGCTGCTGTAGCTCACGCAGGAGGAAGTACCGCAGCTGGATGTGCTTCGCCCTGCCCTCGAGTCGCGGCTCCTGACACAGGAGGATCATGGCCCTGTTGTCAGCGTACAGGACCGGGGCAGAGCTAGGCCGCTCACCTAAGTCAGTGAGCAAGAAGTTCAGCCAGCGGAGCTCCTGTGCCGCCAAGGCACCGGCGTAGATCTCGGCCTCACAGCTGGACTGGGCAACAGACGAGGAGCGAGTAGCTCTCCACGAGACAGCACCTGAACCAAGGCTAAAGCAGTAGCCCTGAGAGGACCTGAGGGTCTCGGCGTCGTCGGCCCATGAAGCGTCTGTGTGCTAAGTAAGGACCACTGGCCTGCGCCCTCCTAGCGCTAACCCCATGCCCGATGTACTTGCAAGATAACGCAAAACCCTCTTAGCGGCAGACCAGTGCTGAAGTCGGTGTCTGCCTGTTGCCACAAAGCGAGCCAGGATGCTTAGAGGGCATGCGAGACATGGGCGAGTGCAAGTCATCAGGAACATGAGGCAACCCATCAGCTCTGCGTAAGGACCACTGGGCTCTACTGACTCCTCAGGAACTGGAGCAGAGAGCCTGTGGTCTACAGGCAATGGGGTCTGCTGTGCAGAGGGGAACTGAAGGCTGAACCTCTGAAGGACCTGGCGCACCAAGTGTGACTGAGTGAGGGTGATGGTGCATGCTGCTCTGTCCCTGGAGATCTGCAAGCCAAGGTAGTGGCACAGTTCTCCAAGGTCAGTGCAGGTGTGTCTCTTCAGCAGCTCTGCCTTCACGGAGGCCAGTGCGTCCCTGTTTGCAGTGGCGAAGACCAGGTCGTCTACGTAAACACGGATGTAGAACGGAGTCTGGCCAGCACGAACGAAGAGCGAGGGGTCTGCAGAGGATGGAAAGAACTGCAGATCAGCAAGCGTAGCACGCAGCGTGCCGTGCCACTCACGGGGAGCATGACGCAGGCAGTAGATGGGGCGCCGCAGGAGCCACTGGGTCCTAGGAGGGAAGGTACTAGTGAAACCCTGAGGGCGGCGCAGGTAGACCTGCTCATGTAGACTGCCCTGAAGAAACGCAGTGGAGAAGTTGAGGGAGTGAAGCTCGTAGTCACGCTGATGCTACGTGTAGCAGCACCCGAAGAGTAGTCATCTTCGAGGTCGGAGCGAAAGTTTGAAAGAAGTCCACCCCCTCACGCTGACTGAAGCCTCTAGCCACGTAGCGCGTCTTAAACACGCGCGGCTCTCCAGGAGGGCGCTTCACCTTGTAGAGCCAGCGGCCATCGACTACGTTCACCCCAGGTGGGGGAACTGCATCGACGTAGGTGCCGGTGGATCTCCAAGATGCCATCTCTTGCTCCATGGCAGCTATACTCTGAGAGGCCCAAGGTCCCGAGATCGCCTCAGTGTAAGTGCGAGGGGTCGGGATGTCGACAAGGAGAGGAGGAGACGACGGGGGAGGCGCAGACGCAAGGTCAGGGGACGGAAGGCCGAGCAGGTTAAGGGCGGACACCGGCGTAGACTGCTGCTGCGGCGGCACGGCACCAACTCCGGGACCGCAAGCTGCTCCACGGCTACCTCCGGAACACTCCATTCCTGCACCCCCAGAAGGAACACCCCCAGAGCCCGAAGTCCCTCGAGCACCGGTACCACCCCCAGGCCCGCCGGGACAAGCCACGACAGGAACCTAGTACTAGGACCCACCCCAACGCCAGCACCCCCAGAGTCAACGAACTGCTGCTGCGACGGCACAACAGACGTGAGGGGGGTGACGTGGGACACAATAGACGGTGCAGGACGAGGAGTGGGAGGGGGAGGGGCAGGGGCTACCGGGGACGGGGGGACCGGTTACAGGGGGGGAGGAACCGGGGGACCACGGTGGTGGAAGCGACGGTAGAAGGAGACGGACTCATCAAAGGTGACGTCGCAGGAGTGAAAGAACCGGTGAGACTGCGGGTGGTAGAAGTGCCAATCGGACACAGGGAAGGTTGCGGGCATTGAGCTTGTCCGTGCCAGAGGCATGAACGTGAGCAAGGCAGCCCCAGACATGGAGCGCAGATGCGTCACCAGGAGACCTGGTCCAGAGGAGGGTCGGCGAAACCTGAGGCTGCTGGGGTTGCGGCCACAGGTTAAGCTGGTGAGCGGTGTAGCAAACGGCGAACGGCCACAGAAAATGGGGTGCACCAGCATGGATCATGGAGGTGCGAGCCACCTCCATGACCAAACCGATGCGTCGCTCAGCGACCCCACCCTGCTGCGGGGAGTCCGGCAGGGTGAACGTCTGGGTGATGCCCTCTGCACGACAGAAACGACCAAGAACACCGGAGGCAAACTCCCCACCACGGTCAGAGTGGAGGCGCAAGACAGGGAGACCTCGGTGGACACGCGCAGAGACAAGCCACGGGATGAGAACGTTAGGCACGTCGGCCTTCCGCTCGAGGGGAAAGACAGTGGTGTAGTGGGTGTAGTCGTCGACAAGCACTAGGAAGTAGCGCTCTCGACGCGGCCCATGGACGGGGGCGGGGCCCCAGACGTCCATGTGCAGGGTCTGTAGCGGTGCGGTGGTATGGGGGAACGAGGAGGAGTGAGGGGCACGGCGGAGGCGGCCCTCGACACAGGGCGTGCACGGTGGTGCTGGGGAGGAGGGCAACTCGGGGAACGACCCTGGGAGACCTAGGACTAGACCGTGCTGTGACATGTGACGCAGACGCGGGAGGGCAGGGTGACCTAGACGGTGGTGCCACAGTAGTGTCGGGTGAGTGAGCGACCGACAGGAGCAGGCGGCAGCAACCTGGGTAGACGCAGACACCTGAGGGGACATCCCAACCGGGGGGGTCGCGGTATCTAGTGTGAACAATCCAGACACCGGGTCCCGGGGGAACGTGGTGAGGGGAGCAACAGTGGCGGCCTCGGTACAGACAGCGTACCGCTCGTAACCAGGGAACGTAGTGGTGACGCCAAGGTCCTGGAGGCAGCCAACACCAACTAGGTTCCTGGAGAACGAGGGGATGTGCAGGCCTGTAAGAGAGCCCGAAGGAACCGCCGGACAGGGAAGGGTGGTGGAACTGCGAATGACTACCGGGCCGGAGGAGGGGTCGGCAAGGGAAACTGCAGCAGGAGCAGAAAGCGGCGTTAGCGTACTGGAGTCGTGAAAGAAACACCGAGAATCGCCAGAGTCCAAGGTGAAGGAGAGCGCGGCTGTGACGTCCGGAGTCGGAGCAACGTTAGAAGAACCAAGGCTAAACAAAGCAGGGAATCCTACGCCTGACGCAGCACGGGAGGCACGACTAGAGACGCCTACACTAGGCAACAAGGGGTAGTAAGAAGCAGGCACACTAGAGTCATTAGCATACATCACATGCAAGGCAGCAACAATCTCATCCAAGTCCAGATCAAAAATCTGAACGCTACGGCGAAGCAAGCTGTGCCGGTCGGGCGACGGGCCGAAGCGCTGACGAAACAGGTCGTCCAGGCAACGGAAACAGCGGACGGAGGTGTGACCGATCTTACCGCAAACGAAGCCACGGCGAGGACCGGTCTGAAGTAGGTAGAGGCAGCGCCCATTGTCCAAACTGCCACCAGACAGCCCACGACGCGCACGACCACCACGTCCAGCGCCTCCACCAGCGCCAGGCCACCTGGGCGGGAGACCACTAGCACGCCTCTGCTGCTGCTAGTGAGAGGTGTCACAGGATCGAATGACTCGAGGAAAGATTGCACTATCGATCAGTACAAGGCGCTTTTATAGTTCCATAGTACTTCAGGTAACCAGGTTTATCTTATCCTAAGGGAATAGACCCTTCTAGAATATAGAATCACCCTGCGTATAGCCACGCGAGGCTATTGGCTTTAAGGGATTACGACAGGATTACGGCAGGATTACGCTAGATATAGCGCACCAGTATATCCCAAGCCTGGTCGGTGATACAATTATAATAGCTGGATAAACCAAAGGTTAATGGAAAATGGAGAATAGGAAACCAAATGAGATGGGATAAAAAGAGAGATGAAATAGAAAGGAAAGAGAAGAAGGGACAAGTGGTGTAACGGGGTCGTACTCTCACACTTCCCCCCCTCAAAGCTGGGTGGTAAAAGTAACACCCTGCTTGACAAGGTAGTCATGCAGAGGACGACTGGCGTTACCCATGTCGGTCTCAGGTACCCAGCTGTCCTCAGAAGGATCATCACCCTTCCAACGGATGAGAAGCTCCATGGTGCCATTCCGACGACGTCGGTGTGCAAGCACGGACTCGACCTCGTACTCAGGTTCATTCTGGACGAGGACGGGCAGCGGCGGCGGCGGTTGGCGTCCGACGAAGATCGTGTTTGGATCCCGATAGGGCTTCAGAAGTTGGACATCGAAGGCGTTGTGAATCTTCCAGGTAGCTGGCAAGCGTAAGCGGAAGGTAACAGGAGTGACCGGTGCTTCAACGAGAAAAGGGCCGCAAAAGCGAGGTCGCAGTTTAGATGGGACATGGCTGATGTCCATGTTGAAGGTGTCGAGAAGCACCTGGTCTCCCACGGGGATGGTGTGGTCGTTGCGATGGCGATCGGCCTGGAGCTTCTGTTGCTGTTGGATGTCGAGGAGGCGCTTGTGGGTCCGATCCCAAAGCTGATGCATGGTTGTGATGAAATCATGTGCAGGTTGAACTGTAGCAGATGTTGTCGGTTTCTGTGATGTGAGTGGGTGGCGTCCGTAGCAGAGGAAGAACGTCGTCTGTCCAGTAGCGGCATGTGTAGCGTTGTTGTAAGCAAACTCTAGAACGGGCAGGTGCAAGTCCCATTTGGAGATCTCGTCCTTGCAGGCTGCTTGGAGGAGTTGCTCAACAATCTGGTTGAGTCGCTTGGTCTGTCCGTCTGTCTGCGGATGGTAAGCAGATGACATGGCGAGTTTGGTCCCGAGCAGAGACATGATTTCCTTCTAGAACTTGCTGGTGAACTTGAGGTCTCGGTTGGAGATAAGTGTGGTTGGAATGCCATGCTGTGAGATGATGTATCGAACGAATAGTTGTGCTGTCTCCTCGGTGCGTGCTGTCGTGTGCTTCGGAATGAAGTGGCCCATTTTGGAGAACTTGTCGATGACGACAAGGATTGCGTCATGACCGCTAGTGATAGGTGGTAACCCGGTGATGAAGTCCAGGCTAACCACTTGCAATGGCTGTTCTGGGACAGGAAGAGGCTGCAGTAGTCCCGCCTTTTTCTGCTTGCTGCTCTTCATCCGCAAACATGTATCACACGAGGTGACAAATTTCTGAACATCCTCTGCCAAGTGGGGCCAGTAGTAGTGTTTCGCAATACCGGTCAGCGTCTTGTTGCTACCGAAGTGTCCGGCGTAGAGGACGTCGTGGTATTCTTCGAGTAGTAACTGGCGCAAAGGAGGGTAATTGGGTACCCAGATTTTTGTTGATCCTTTCCGGTACGCGATGTCACTATCCCACCGTAGCAGATGTCGCTTTTTTGCCAAGGGAATTTCGGGGTCGATGGCATACCCGTGTGTGAAGAGTCCCTTGAGGAGTGGATTCATCCCTTCGATCTGAATAGCGGCAACGTGTGTAGGCCGGCTGAGGGCGTCTGCTTTGTTTTTGTGGACGGGCTTGTACACGATGTCGTAGTGGAAGTGTGTCTCGAGGAAGTCGATCCACCGGACCTGCCGCCTGGAAAGGTTGGGTTGTGTCTTCAAGTATTTCAGGCTGCAATGGTCGGTGTAGACGGTTGTTCTTCGTCCTTCGAGATAACATCTCCACGCTTTGAAGGCGATGACGATGGCAAGGGCCTCTTTGTCGTGTATCGGGTAGTTTAGTTCTGCCCCGTGCAGTTTCTTGCTCAGGTAGGCAATTGGTTGCAGTCCATTCCCCTGGTCTTGCATTGAGACTGCTCCCACTGCCTGGTCGCTGGCGTCAGCTTCGATTACGTAGTCGCGTTCGGGATCTGGCAAGATGAGTACTGGTGCGGACGTAAGTGCTTGTTTCAGCTGCTCCACGGCTTCCTGGTGCTTCGGCTCCCATTTGTAGGGCGTGTTCTTCTTCAGCAGATTCATGTGTGGTGCTGCAAGTTTCGCATACTGTGGCACGAACCTGTTGTAATAATTAGCGAAGCCTAGGAACTGCTGCAACTCCTTCACGTTCTCGGGTGTCTTCCACGTACGTACGGCTTCGATTTTCTTGGGGTCGACGTGAACTCCTTGAGTGCTGACCATGTGTCCCAGGAACTGGACCTTCTCAAGGGTGAATTCGCTCTTGGACAGTTTGACGTAGAATCGTTCTCGTCGAAGAATTTCGAAGACGCGTCGCAGGTGTTCGACGTGCTGCTTCATGTCGCGCGAGTAGATGAGGATGTCGTCCAGGTACACCATCACGCACTCGTCCAAAAGTGGTCGTAGAATGTGGTTCATTTCGGCTTGGAACGTTGCCGGTGCGTTGGTGAGTCCAAACGGCATTACCAAATACTCGTACGATCCATACCGAGCTCGGAAAGCAGTTTTGTGGATAGAGTTGTCCGCCATCCGTATCTGCCAGTATCCGGACCGCAGATCCAGTTTGGAAAATACCGTAGCTCCCCGAAGCGGGTCAAGCAGGTCATCGATTCGCGGTATCGAATATTTATTCTTGATGGTCTGCTTGTTGAGAGCTCGGTAGTCGATGCACATGCGCAGGCTTCCGTCCGGTTTCGGTGTGCAGAGTACTGGGGCACCGTATGGCAAAGTGGATGGTCGGATGAGTCATTTGGCTAGGAGATACTCGATCTGTTTTTTCATGTCGGTCAGCTCCGTAGGGCTGAGCCGATATGGTGCTCGGAAGGTCGGCTTCGAACCCGGTTTCTACAATCTCATGTTGATGCGTTCGGTATGGCGGTAGCTTGTTCGGAAGATCGTCCGGAAGAATGTCTTGGAACTCCTTCAATAATTCCTTGATTTTTTCCGAAGGTTCCGATGTCTTCTCTCTGTCGTTCTCCGCCTCTGTTGCTATCACCAGGAACCCGGTGTCGGTTCGCTTCACGTCTTTCTGGAATCGTGCGAGTGTCTCCACTGGGATATCTCCTGTATCGTCCCAGTTGGGTAGCTTTACTCTCCTTCCATTGTTGTAGATGCTTGCGGTGCGGTTCACCCAGTTGATCTCGGGGTTGAATCGTTTTAGGAAGTCTCGCTCGAAGATCAGGTCAAGCCCTTTGATGTTGGTGATGGGGAGTGCAGGTTTCCAGCGCAGTGGTCCGATTTGTAGGTGTAGCACTGCTTCTCCGTGTACTGGTAACTTGCTTCCGTCCACCATCGTTGCAGAGAATCCTGAAGCCTTGTACTCTTCCCGAAGTCGGTCGATTACTGCCTTGTCGCAGATGGTGTGTGATGCTCCGCTGTCCACGAGTGCTTAGAGGTGTCGTCCTTTGCAGATGACCTTGAGCACGAGGGGCAAGCGTAGCTCGGAGTACCCAAAGATGGTTTCATTGATTGGGTCATAGGGTACATCCCAATATTCCGTACACACCTTTGTGTTGCTATCTACTCCTGAGCTGGCAGCTGGCCGAGGCTGCTTGGAGAACGGCTCTTCTCCAGGGCCCGGAGTTTCCTTGACGATTGTGCGCGTCGTTGATGCCGAAGAACTGGATGCATCCGGAGGAGGAGTTCGGGGTTTGTGCAGCTTTTTGTAGACCCTTAGCTTCCACTTAAGCGGCTTCAGCTCCACCGACGTCTTCCCTGGGGAACGGCTAGTCGTTGTGGGCTGGTGTCGGGAGAGGACGTTGACTCCGTGGAAAGGACAGCTTCTTTCCACACTCCTTAATTTTTTCCCCAAGTTGTCCGGTACCGGTATAATCTCCACAGTTGTCTGCTTCTTTTGGAGTTTCCTCGAAATTTCTCCAAGGCTCTAGCCCCTCGAAAATCATAAGTTTTCATGAAAGCGTCTTTATAGGATAGCTTTAACGAATCCTTATAATTTCTTGGGTCTTCTAGGAGTTTCCCTGTCTCGGCAGAGTCTTTTTTCGCGGAGTCGTATTTTTCCTCGGCGATTTTTTCTGGCGAAGACTGGTCGTGGGGTGGAGATTTTCCCCCATAATTTCCTCCTTCTCGCGTCGAATTAGCTTCGTCGAAGTTGATTTCCCCAGAATCCTGCGGCCGCTTCCGGATCTTTTTATTTTCGCCAACTAGATCCGCAATCACTGGCGACTCCCGTTTTTTGTCTTCTGATTGGCCGAAGGAATTCCGCCACTGTTGCGTGCCCGATACTCTGCGCGTGCGGCCTTCATTTTGGTGCAGTCGAAGATTCAATGACCCGGCACCCCGCAAAAATCACACGCGTAGTTGGTGTTTTTCGGACGTGGCCGCCCCTCGAACCTGTCGACTTCCATCGGGTCGGTGAACGTGGGGTGAGCCGAGCGGTCGCCCTGTCGCATATTGCCGATGTGCGTCCATCGTGTTCCGGCGTTGACCATGTCGAAACGCTCCGCTGCCGAAACGACGTCACTGTAGCTCGCGTAGTTTGACGGTGCCACTTGTTGTTTGACTTCGGTCTTCAGCCCGGCGAGGTACGACTGTACTTTTTCCCCTTTGGTCAGGTCGGGAATGCGGTAATAAAATTCTTCCATCTGCTGCGTGTACTGCGCTACACTCCCGAACTGTCGATGGCGATGAATTTTTTCCCGAGCAAGGAAACCGGAATTTATCGGCACGAAGCGTTTCAGCAGGTCGGCGCGGAACTGCTGCCACGTGGCTTCACTGTGGATAAATGTGTTGTTGCCGCCAATCCACTCGAGTGCCGGCCCTCGCATCAGCGTCGTCGCGAGCCGTACGCGTTGTCCGTCCTAGACTGGCGAGCTCCATCCGACGGCTGCGAAGTAGATCTCCATCCCGGCGATCCATCTGTGGGCATCGGAGTTTCAATCGCTCGGATCGAACGGCTCAGGTGGGCGCGGTTTCAGAGCCTCGAGAAACTGCTGCGACTGCTGCGTCGTCGCCGTTGTCGAGTCGTGCTGCGCTCCGGCGAGTCGAGTTACTCGCTCGAACTCGTTTCGCCACGCTTCGCGATCCGCTCGCATCTGCTCCTGAAGGGCTGCGATGCGCACGAAGAGCTGCAGGGTAACCTCGGCGTTGTCGAAGGTTGCCATCCTGTTCAAAACACGCGCGGGGGGGGGAATTCGAAAAAACGTGGAGCTGATGCTTACCACAATCGGCGTCGAATTGGCCGCCCACGGCGGTTTTTCGAGGCAGGTTTTCCCGCTGCTGCTGCTTTGTTGAGCGCGGCCGAGTGAGAAAAGCTCTGATTACCAAGTGTCACAGGATCGAATGACTCGAGGAAAGATTGCACTATCGATCAGTACAAGGCGCTTTTATACTTCCAGAGTACATCAGGTAACCAGGTTTATCTTATCCTAAGGGAATAGACCCTTCTAGAATATAGAATCACCCTGCGTATAGCCACGCGAGGCTATTGGCTTTAAGGGATTACGACAGGATTACGGCAGGATTACGCTAGATATAGCGCACCAGTACATCCCAAGCCTGGTCGGTGATATAATTATAATAGCAGGATAAACCAAAGGTTAATGGAAAATGGAGAATAGGAAACCAAATGAGATAGGATAAAAAGAGAGATGAAATAGAAAGGAAAGAGAAGAAGGGACAAGTGGTGTAACGGGGTCGTACTCTCACAAGACGGCTACTGGTGCGGCTGGTGCGTATCCGGCTGCGACACCTGCGGCTGCTCGGATGCACCTGTCAGGGTCCCCTCGTCAGCGCTACCACTAGACGATCCGACTCCACCACCACCTCCACCTCCACCTGCACCGCCACCGCCACCACCACGCCCAGCCTTGGAGCGGCGGCCCTTTCGAGGACGAGCCTGTAGTGCAGCGGCCGTCTCAGCCACTGCAGTGGAGCCATCCGAGAAAGTGCACTTAGCGGGCGCACAGCCCTGAAAGGTAAAGACCGGCACCGTACCGCTGGACTGAGCGATAGAGCGCTGACGGGTCTCTATGGCAGACAGGGTGTCATCAAAAGTCAGTGAGGGTGAGGTCCGCGGGGTGTGCACTGAGAAAGTGATCGCGCGCAGTGGCAAGGCGGTCAGGGAGGCGGGTGGCAAGCAGGTAGAGGGGGGAACGGGGCTGCGGGGCGGCTGGCTGACGGGGCTGAGGGGCCGCTAGGGGACGGGGCTGCGGGGCCGCTGGTCGACGGGACCGAGGGGACGCTAGGGAACGGGGCCACTAGGGAACGGGGCCGCTGGGCAGCTGGTCGACGGGGCCGAGGGGCCGCTAGGGGCGGGGCCACGGGGCCGCTAGGGGACGAGGCCGCGGGGCCGCTGGTAGACGGGGCCGAGGGGCCGTTAGAGGACTGGTCGCGGGGCCGCTAGGGGCGGACGCGGGGCCGGCTACAAGGCGGACGCAGGGCCGGCTACGAAACGAACGTGGGGCCGGCTAGGGGCGGACGAGGGGCCGGTTACGAGGCGGGCATGGGGCCGGCTACGGGGCGAACGCGGGGCTGGCTAGGGGCGGACACGGGGCTGGCTACGGGGCGGACGCGGGGCCGGCTACGCGACGAACGCGGGGCCGGCTAGGGGCGGACGCGAGGCCGGTTACGGGGCGAACGCGAGGCCGGCTAGGGGTGGACACGGGGCCGGCTACGGGGCGAACACGGGGTCAGCGACGGGGCGAACGCGGGGCCGGCTAGGGGCGGACACGGGGCCGGCGATAGGGCAAACGAGAGGCCAGCTAGGGGCGGACGCGGTGCCGGCGACGGGGCGGGTAAGCTAGGGGGAACGGGGCAGGCTAGGGGGAACGGGCGGCTAGGACCTAGTGCGGAAGCGCTGGTGGGCGGGAGGAATCTAACCTTCTCATGATACCATATCAGAATAGAAGAATAGAAGAATAGACTAGAAAGGGAGAGTACAAGGTAATATAACCTAGAAGCTGTACCCTCTAAGACACAAACCTATACCATCTATACAAACATAACAATGTATGTTTGACAATAGGCTAGAAAGGTGCATGGTCATAGAGAGTACAACTCCTTAGGCCCAAACCAGCCTGTATCACTCATCCTAGTTCATTGCGTTATTCTGAGAATTTTAACTCACTTGTTAGTAACTGAGTTTCGACAAGACATGCTTTTCTTCTATCCTTGCATAAAAAGGCAATACCCGTAAATGGCTGGCAAGCAGCAGCAGTCTCACCAGCCCAGCAATCGCTCCTGTTGCGAAGAGCCCACACCAGCAGAGATGATTAGATCTCTGCCTTCCGGTACATGTTACTATGCCTATGGCCTGACACAAGCTCTTCCAAACCCCAACACCCACATCCCCCCATTCCCCACTCCCTCTCCCCCAACCATCCCTTATCGACTCCGTCCTCCCCCCCCCCCCCATGGTCCCCCCCCTCCCCCACTCACTTAACCCTCTTCCCCTCCTCCCCCTCCTCAACCTTGGTCCACCTTCGCTCCTCCTCGTACTGCTCGGGCGAGTGCAGCGTGCCAAACAGCCAGTCGAACAGCACCGTATAGTGCCCATAGTTATGCCTGTAGGTGGTATGGTGAGTGGTGTGGTACTTAGCCCCCATGATGAACAGCACGTTCCGCCAAGACCCTCCTCTCAAACCCCCAAACCCACATCCCCCTCTTCCTCCCTTCCCCCCCTAGCCCCCCTGTCCCCTATCCCCCCTCTCCCCCCTTCTCACTTAACCTTCTTCCCCTCCTCCTCCCCCTCCTCCACCTTGGCCTTCCCCTTGGCCTGCCTTCGCTCCTCCTCGTACTGCTCGGGCGAGTGCAGCGTGCCGAACAGCCAGTCAAACAGCACCGTGTAGTGCCCATAGTTATGCCTGTAGGTGGTATGGTGAATGGTGTGATACTTGGCCCCCATGATGAACAGCACGTTGCCGTGCAGGTTGTCGTGGATGTTGGTGGTCCAGATGCCCTCGGCGAAGAGCAGCAGCAGGTGCGTGGTGAAGTGCATCGGCACCAGGAACAGCGAGAACACGTGCGGGAGCGCCTGGATGATGCCGTCCAGCGGGTGGAACGCCAGGCCTGGGGGGAGAGAGGGGGAGAACGAAGGATGGGGTTGGAGGGAAGGGGTTGTGGTTTCGGGTTAAGAGTTGGGCGTGAGACGGCCTGGATGATGCTGTGTAGCGGGTACAAGGCCAGGCCTGGAGGGAGAGGGAGAGGGGACGAAGGATGGGGTTGGAGGGAGACGTGGGTGAAGGGATGTGGGGAGAGAGTGGGAGAGATGGAGGGGGAGAGAGTTCGTGGGGGGAACGGGGAAACGGGAGTTGGAGTGTGTGCGTGTTGCGCTAGCTTGGGAGACGCTCTTCAATGGGCCTGGATGATGCCCAGGACGAACGCTAGGCCTGGGGGGGGTGCGACGGAGAGCAGCAAGGAAGGGGGGAGGGAGCGGAGACGAAGATAGGAAGAGGGTGAGAGAGAGAGATGGTGGGAGAGAAACGGAGGGAGGGAGAGAGGGAGAGTCTGTGGAGACTGGGAGGACACAAACGCCATCACCGATATTCCCAGGAGGAATGTTATGGCAATGGGAGGGAGGGAGGGAGGGAGGGAGGAGGGAGGGAGGGAGGGGGGAGGGAGGGAGGGAGGGAGGGAGGGAGGGAGGGAGGGAGGGAGGGAGGGAGGGAGGGAGGGAGGGAGGGAGGGAGGGAGGGAGGGAGGGAGGGAGGGAGGGAGGGAGGGAGGGAGGGAGGGAGGGAGGGAGGGAGGGAGGGAGGGAGGGAGGAGGGAGGGAGGGAGGGAGGGAGGGAGGGAGGGAGGGAGGAGGGAGGGAGGAGGGAGGGAGGGAGGAGGGAGGGAGGGAGGGAGGGAGGGAGGGAGGGAGGGAGGGAGGGAGGGAGGGAGGTGCGTGCAACGTTGGTGCAACGTTGGTGCAGCGTTGGTGCATCGTTGGTGCATCGTTGGTGCATCGTTGGTGCATCGTTGGTGCATCGTTGGTGCATCGTTGGTGCATCGTTGGTGCATCGTTGGTGCATCGTTGGTGCATCGTTGGTGCATCGTTGGTGCATCGTTGGTGCATCGTTGGTGCATCGTTGGTGCATCGTTGGTGCATCGTTGGTGCCAACCCGCCAGATCCGCCCAAAATGGGGACTCCCTCCCAATCCGCCAGGTCATCCCCATATGACAGGCCAAGCGAGTGCGACGCGGAGGGACGGCGACGTGGAGCGAGAGAGCAGCCGCGTCGCGGACAGAAAATGGGAGGATGAGGTAAGCAGGGGGGCCGGGGGGCCGGGGGATAAGGGATGGGGAGCGGAGAGGGAGGACAGGAGTGGAGAAGGGGGGAGAGGGGGGTAGGACCGAGGAAGGGGAAAGGGCGAGAGGAGAGTGTACCGGCGAAGCACGAGAGGACTCACCTGCGAAGGGCGAGAGCGTGTTCTGCTTGTTGTAGATATGGTGTATCGCGTGCAGCAGCCGGTGCGTGTAAGCCAGCTAGCTTGATATCGTGCAGCAGCCGGAGCGCCCAGTAGATCGATAACTCCTGTCAGTCAACGACTCAAAAACGAGGTGACTTCTGACTGACCCGACTCAAACGTACCAGCGAAGGGCGAGAGCGTGTTCTGCTTGTTGTAGATGTGGTGAATCGCGTGCAGGTACGTGTAAGCCGGCTTGATATCGTGCAGCAGGCGGTGCGCCCAGTAGATCCCGAACTCCACTATCAGCAGGTACGCGAGCAACCCCAGGATGTAGCGCGGCGCGCTCGCCTCGCCGATCTGGCTGTAGCAGCGCGTCCAGCCGCGCTCGACCAGAGACTCCGAGATCGTCGGCAGGAGCGTGTAGAGCGGCATCGCGCGCATCGACACCGCGATCTGCCGCCACATGGCTTTAAGAGACGGGATATCGTCCGGACCGGAGTATAAGTACCACCCGAAGAGCGAATACACGACGAGGCTCCATAGTCCCGACCCGATTAAGTACAGGAGGCAGCCCGCGACGTAGTTACGCAGCCAGGTTTGCGGGAAGTGCGGGAGGGAGGCGACGAAGGAGGAGGGGAGGAAGGAGAGGACGAGGTGGTTGTAGAAGGTCGTCTCCTCAACGAAGAGGTTGAAGTACTCCTGGCTGCCTGGTTGGAGCGTCTTAGCGTCAGGCGCGGGCGGGAAGACGGACGCGACTGTCAGCGACGCCGTTTTAGCCAATCGCGTGACCGGATCTAGCGCTGCGAGCAGGGAGGATGGTAATGGAGAGGCGGAGAGTGAGGCGTTGGGGGCGGAGGCGGAAGCGGAGGACGCGGGGGGAGCGGTGGAGGCGGGGGACTCGCTAGCGGGAGCGGCGGAAGGGATAGGATCGTGCGGATCGGAGAGGCCGTGGATTGCGGGGATCGCGAGAGCCAAGAGGAGGGACAAGACGAGCGCGTAACGCGCGGAAAAGGCGGGGAAGGGGGCCCTAGAAGGGGCCATGGCGGCGAATGCTATGGAGAGGTGGGCAGGGGAAGGACGAAACAAACAAGGCTAGAACAGCGAGGTTTGGTTTGAACAACGCTGGGTGGGGTTCGATTCGAAGCAGATCGGCCACACCAATGCAACCTTGTAAAGGAGCAAGGCAGTGCTACATGTACTCAGGAAGTTTTTTCCGCAGCGAGTGTTAGACCCGAGGGTCTAGAGGGAGATCCGAGGCTGGAAAACAATTGCCTTGGGTCTTGCGAAAAACTGACGGCTTCTGCCAGTCAGCTGTCGAGCCAAACAACTAACAAAGTCGCGCAAAAGAACTTCCACCAGTCATAACTTCGTAAAATTCTGTTGGACTTGAAAAGCTCTACCAGTATAGTCGCAACCCTCCCCTTGCGAAACTTCGCGAGTAAACAGCCACTGCACCGTCAAGAAAATTAAACCCGCAGCTAGGTTGTGACCACCCGCGGCTCCTTCGGCCACGGGTCTGACACTCGCTGCGGAATATGTCCTCACTATATGGCGGGGGAAATGAGTGTACAGATCATAATCCCTGAGCACCCGGGGGGCGACGCGGGAGATTTCCCTTTTAACGAATACTGGCCGTATGGTAGGGGCAACGTGGACTATGGGGTTTCCCCAGGAAATGGGGCGTTGATTTTTTGTGTACTGTGCATGGGCGGCTTGACTGGCATATGCAGCGACTAAGTAAGCATCGCCACGTCGTAAGCCTCTCCACATGTGTATCAACTCCGCGTTTCAAGAGAATGTCAGATTCCTCGGCGCGCTCCTTGGCGCGTTCCTATTGGCTGTGGGTGAACGGATTTTCCTGGGGAAACGCCGATGGATTCCGTTGGCGTTGCAGGCGTAATTCTACTGGACCGTAAGCGAGCTGGTCGTATCTAGCGCATCAGGTGGATTTTTGCCTCGACATTGGTTGGCGAGCCTCACACATCTGGATTTTTAGAGGCTCGCCGACCACTAGGTACGGTCGCTCTGAAAACACAAGAACAAACTGATTGGACAGCCTTGGATCAGCCGGATTGACTGTCAAATTTACCGTTCAGTTAAGATGGGTATACTTTGCGTACAAGGAGTTGCCCTTAAGGAATAAATGCCTATGGAATACTCCTGGGCGTAAAAGGGAGTCGTCTACAAGGCATATGACTTGTATTCGAGGTAACACAACATCAAATGTCGACGCATGCGGTCCAGAGTGGTTCGAGACGGAATGGCCTACTATCCTGTGAGTTCCGTAGTGGTACAGTTCTTAGAAAATGTGTACTGTTTTCGAGTTCAAAAAAATGTCGGTCAGTCAAACAGCTTCACACGATGCACGGGCAAACACTGGAGGGGCTACAACAAGACTCGGATGGCCTCGTGGCAGCCAGCTCACCCGCAAAAAAAGAGTCGGGAATTGCTGACTAGGCAAAAGAGGAAACAGCTTGGGCGGGAACTTCCCAGGATTTACGTCAGCAGGCCCGACAGCTCCAAGGCCGTGGCGGGTTCAGCGGGCTTCCGTAAACATGGGAAATCACGTGCAAACATTGGTGGGAAATGGAAAGGGGCGCTAAAAACCCGCTACAGAAACATCCACAATTACAAACAGCGTTGTACCTGACGAACACGTATGATCTGACGGACACCATAAAAATTGGATTGCACACCTGCCCACAACTGGCGCTTTGCACTCTCAACCCAGAAATAACTCCAGTCCCAAAATGTCGTTCGAATATGGTTGACAAGGGTAGAGCACAGAAGCATGCCACAAGAAGCATCTGCATACCATATAAGCTCAACTAAAATACCCAAGGGTTTTATCATGACTAGAGAGAGAGAGAGAGAGAGAGAGAGAGAGGAGAGAGAGAGAGAGAGAGAGAGAGAGGAGAGAGAGAGAGAGAGAGAGAGAGAGAGAGAGAAGAGAGAGAGAGAGAGAGAGAGAGAGATAGAGAGAGAGAGAGAGAGAGAGAAAGAGAGAGAGAGAGGAGAGAGAGAGAGAGAGGAGAGGAGAGAGAGAGAGAGAGAGAGAGGAGAGAGAGAGAGAGAGAGAGAGAGAGAGAGAGAGAGAGAGAGTTTACAGGGATATATAGCCTAGAGTGTTGTACCCTCAACAGCACAAACCAATATTGTATATAACTAACATACTTAGATATGTTTGACACACCCCCTAGACGATATAGGGGCAGTGCCTAACAGGGCAACAAGAAGCTCAGGGCGGCACTACTACTCCAGCCTCTGAGGCAAGGGTCTAAAGACCAGTCAAAGGAGTACAGACACAACAAGAACAAGACCAGGGAGGCACTACTACTCCAACCACTGGGAGGGGCCACAAGGCCAGTCGGGATAACACATACATATAAAGGTCTATACACAATCAAGGCCCTAACATCTGAAAGGCAACATGAACAAGACCTAGCTGTATACAATACCGCTGATGATCTTTAGGCGCAAGCGCCTTCGTAAAGATATCAGCTGTGTTGGCACCGGAGGCCAAGTGTACTACACGGCCCTGGCGACGCAGCTGTAGCTCGCGCAGGAGGAAGTACCGTAACTGGATGTGCTTCGCTCTACCCTCAAGTCGAGGCTCCTGACACAGGAAGATCATGGCCCTGTTGTCAGCGTACAGGACCGGGGCAGAACTAGGCCGCTCACCTAAGTCGGTGAGCAAGAAGGTCAGCCAATAGAGCTCCTGTGCCGC